TCACTATCTTGTGCATAATTATTGTATTATATTTTTGTATTGCCTCTCCGCCTTGTACATGCCACGCTTCCTTTCTCTCTCTTTTTCTTGTTTATCTTGCTTCACTCCTCCCGACCTCACCCCTGGCAGGGGAGTACTGTAGCAACCCGACTCCTATTACGTCACTTCTTATGTAAGCATGCGCAAGAAATAAAATCTTTGTCTTTGGTCTCAACTTCTTTGTTGTCTGGTTGGCCATTTTAGCGGTCGTCTAGGGCCCGATGTAAAACCCCTAAAACCTCACGATTGGAAATTGTCTGCACATACCACTGCACCATATGGCGCACGCACGCACGCATTGGCGCGCGCACACACACATACACACACACTCTCTCTCTCTCTCTCTCTCACACACACACACAGCATGGGCGTCGAAAGGAAATTTAGTGTGGTACGGTCAGCCATCTGAAGTACAATTTACTCGTGGGGGGGAGGGTGGCCGAGCCGAAATTTTGGAAATTTAGAGCCCAAATCAGTGCATTATCTTGATCCTCGGGTGCTTTGGGCAAATAGTGGTACGGTCAGTACCGTAGTGACCGTACCATGTGCGACACCCCTGCACACACACACACACACACACACACACACGCACACACACAAACACACACACACACACACACACATACATACACACACACACACACACACACACACACACACACGCGCACCCACGCACCCACGCACCCACGCACGCACGCATGCATGTGCACACACGCACACACGCACACACACACACACACACACACACACGCATACACACACACATACACATACACACACACACGCACACACACACACACACACACACACACACACACATACACACACACACACACACACGCACAAACACACACACTCACACACACACACACACACACACACACACGCGCACACACACGCACACTCATACTCATACATGCCCATGGCGGAAGTGATGATAGTGAACAGCTATGTTAGATATAGCAACTTGTGCTGGGATTACACCATTCAACAGCTTGCAAGGCTGATGAATTTATCGCCACTAATTTTTGGTCTGGTATCCACCACACAGCTGTTTTTGAAGCGGCTTTTTTTCTGGCCAGTGAATCCCTATTTTCCGATTTTCATTTTTCTTCTTCTTTTTTTTTAATTTTTTGACACACACCACACCACATATTCGTGCATACACTGGCTGTTGGTAACCACCCCGGAGAATAAAAGAAGAGGTAGGAGAATGAGAAAGAGAAGAAAGTCGTGTGCGACCATAATCGTCGGGAATTGAACCCGCAAACTCTCGATTGGAAATCGACTGCGCATACCACTGCACCATATGGGACACACATATATATACACACACACACACAGACACACACACATTAACTAGGAAACGTTGCACGTCGCCCACACTTTGAGTGACATATTTAATGACACGTTCAGTGTACCGTGACTCGTGCATACACAATGTTGTTTGGCCGACATAGTCACCGTGAAGTGCAGTGCACACGACCTTAGTCAGTAGCAAAGTATGAGCATGCAGCAACAGCACTTTCAAACATAGCAGCATAGCTTGAGCGGTAGCACGAAGCTGCGTGCACCCATTAATCTGCATTATCACTGCGGAGCAGGATTTTGGCGGAGCCAAGAGAGGAGTCAGAGAGGGTTCACTGCGGAGCAAGATCTTGGAAGAGCCAAGAGAGAGGTCACTGCCGGAGCAGGATTTTGGCTGAGCCAAGAGGATAGACAGGTATGAGGGACGGGGACCGAAAAGTCCCTCGTTGGCTAGGCCTTTTTTGTATTGAGACAGCATGTGATAAAGAGGATACTGAGAAGAGTTCAAGCAACACAGATGTGAACACAGCCAATGTCTCGCAGTAAGACAATTATCTTGATGAGCTCCTTGCCGGTGTCCCGCATTCTACGCCGGAAAATTGCTCGTGCAGCAAAGGGAGCTTGCCCAAATAGAAGGAGGAACTTTGCTGCAGTGATCGGCTTGACCTTGGCGTCAGGCCGCTCCGCAGCTGTGGGAGCAAAGGTTCTGAAGGCATCCAACTTGGTCCGGACAGAGCATCAGCCACTGGCATTGGAGTTGACTGGCAAGTGTGATGCTCCGAACAGTAAGTGGTGCTGGACACAGATAAGTAGAGGGTGCTGACGAGTGCAATGACCACAGGAGAACTAAACGGTGTGTGCCCACCTTCAATATGTTGACAGAGTCTGGTGCCACCAGCTCAGGTCATCCTTGGTTGAGTCTGAGAGGTTCAGCATTCTGCGGGATGATATCTCAGATGTGGTCTTGAAAAGGGCAGACAGGCAGCGTAGGGCAGATGGTGGGACGCGAATGTGAGTTGGCCTAGAAGGCAGGCGAGTTCATGCTTGAGGACGCAACCCCTGTCGAGTGTGGCAGATACTAGATGGGTTGAGCGTTTAACTGGAAAACCAAATAGATGGTTGCACAAGAGTGGCCCAAGCATATCTGCTGGCGGACAGAATTCATGCAACACGTCAACAGCTGGCTGTACAATCTGGTTGGGATGTCAGTGTCATCTGCAACAGTACTAACCATCATCCAAACTGGAGCAGACTGCAACACCATGGGCATAGGCCAGCCTGTGACTTACTTGGGTAGTGCACCTCAAAAGTGACAGGTACTAGTACTTGATTGATTGATGCACTGCGTGTGTGTGTGTGTGTGTGTTTGTGTGTGTGCGCGTGTGCGTGTGCATGTGTGTATGTGTGTATGTGTGTGTGTGTGTCAATTCTTCAGCCTTGCAAGCTGTTGCATGGTGCAATCCCAGCACAAGCTGCTATGGCTTCTGCTGTAGCATCGCTATCATCGACTCCGGCGATGGGCGTCCAATGGTCCAATGGTGTGTGTGTGTGTGTGTGTGTGTGTGTGTGTGTGTGTGAGGGGAGGGGGGGGGGAGTTCCTTACCCACCAATGACAGGTAGACCGACTAGTAGTAGTACTAGATTGATTGATGCCCGGGCTAGGGCTGTGCCTAGGTGCAGACTAAAGATGGGGTGACCACTGTGTGTATGGTACTGCAACGCATTGAACAGTAGAAGTGACAGGATTGAAAGGTGCACTGCACTGGGTTGGATGTAACTGGTTTCACACTGCCACAAGATGGTTGTGATCAGCAACAAGATGACTATGCATGGCTATGGCACTGCGCAATCAGCTCAGAGGACCAGTGAACATGACTCACAAACACAGTGATGCAGCTGTTCAAAGAATGCTATGTCCACTGTACTAGTGACTTGGTGTGGAGTTGCACAGCTTGAGGTTGCAGAACTGACTTTGACAAAACAAGGAGTGTTGCTGGCAATGACGGGTAGACCTATTACTACAATCATATAATTCATTGATTGCTTGATGCCAGGGCTAGCTGTGCCTGGGTCAGTGGGTGCAGACTAAAGTAGGGATGACCACTGTGTCAGTATACTGTCTGTGCTGCAAAGCATGAGCAGTTGAAGTGGCAGGATGGCAGTTGCACTGCACTGGGCACTGGACACTGGGCACTGGGCACTGGACACTGGGCACTGGGCACTGGGCACTGGGCTGGTTATTTCACACCACCTCAGTGACTCAGTGAGATTGCCAGTGGTTGTGTAGTACAGTATAGCATCCTGACGATCAGAGACACTACGACTAAGTCAGTGCGTGTATGCAGCTCCAGTGCATATGACTGACGAACACAGAGAGTGTGAGTGATGTGGCTGTTCAAACCATGCTATGTACACTATACTAGTAACTATTACTTACTTTGTGTGAAGTTGTACAGCGGTCTGACGTTGCAGAACTTTGACCAACAAGGTTGTTGCTGGTCAACAGTTTCCTTCTGGCCAGCTTGGACCAGAGCTCTATCGAGACTCAGAGGGAGTGACAGATCTAGTTGCAATCTCTCCGACAAGGATGTATCGGCAACTACTGCAAAGAGGCGACGACGGATCATTTTCGTCGTTCAGTTGTTTGAAATCATACCTTCGGCTATTAACGGAACGAAACAAGTACCGCATTTCGGCACGAGATAATATCCATAAATGGATTCCCAGCTGCTGCGATCTCTGAGGGAATCTTGCCTGCTCGCAGACCAAATATCGTTTCCATCCATAGTGATCCGCGCGTGCTGGGACACAAAGGTCGCGTCCTGGACTAGAACTGGTGAGTAGGTTGTCAGCCCCGACACCCATACCGACATACCCTACTAGAGCGTAGAGGAGTGGACTTGCGCTGACACTGGCTGCAAATAGAGGACAAAGGCGAGCCTATACCTGGTAAAGCGCTGTGAGTTGTGACTCCGTTTCTCTCAAACATCTGCAGATTTCAAATCAAACGGCGCTGCTGGCGCAAACGGTGCCAACAATTTGCGTTCTCAGCTGCCTGCCCCACTCACGGCGCTCGGAGTAGATTCACAGGCCTGAATCAGGCGATCCACATGGGCAGATTTCCTGCCCGAAGCATCCAGTTCACTGGGGAGGCGCGGAACCGTCATGGCACAAATATCTTTGACCTTAAGGCAGCCATGGTTCGAGACAACAAGGATGAGGACTAGAGAAAACACAACCCGTTGAAACACAACGATCTGACAAGAGTGATCCACACGCAGAACGGATCGAAATATAACTAGGCAAACTTTAGCATGCCACATCAAATGCCATGACGCACGCCGCTTACGTGAAGCGACACGCACGAATGAATGCTTGGTTGAGTGTCACGTTGAATAACAAGTAGAATGCCACGTCGCATAGAGATTACTGATTAGAGTACCATGTGTGCATGCACCATGATGTTTGGTAGACATGGTTACCGTGATGTACAGTGCACGTGACTGTAGCCAGCAGCAAAGCATGAGCATGCAGTAACAGCACTAGCAATCATAGCAGCATAGTTTGAGTGGTAGCAGGGAGCAGCTGTGTGCACCCATTAATCTGCATTATTAGTATATTACTATAATACTACACACACGCACGCACGCGTGCCCGCGCGCACACACGCACATGCACACACATATATAGATTTCCAGCCGTATCCAACGCCATGTCCAATCACCCACAATCTATACTACGGAACATCCCTGATATGATCGCTCGACGTGTCTCAAGCATATCTGCTGACAGCGGCGTATTTGCCGATGCTGCCCCTATATATCGCAATCCATTAGCGGCCAGCGGATTACCTGCCAACATCAAGTACTTAAGTACATTGACCGAACGCCACCTACTGTAATGAACGGCAGCAAGCAAAAATGAAAAAGGAAACGGAATGTGGTGTGGTTTAACCCGCCATACTCCAAGAGTGTCCGGACCAACATCGCCGGCACCTTCCTCCGGCTGATCGACAAGCATTTTCCTAAGGGGTCCAAAATGAACAAAATCTTCAGCCGCTTCAACGTGAAGGTGAGCTACTCCTGTTTGCCGAATATTATTATTATTATTATAGGCTTTTCCGCGTTGGCATCGCCAAGCAAGCTTGGCTAGCCTTCGCATAAGCTGCTCCATAATGATGAGACGAAACAATAAATGCATGTATATACGATCTAGGACAGAACCAAGGTTGAGGATATTTTTGAAGAAAGCTGCAGGTTGTGTTGAGGAACACAAAGTTACAAACTCAACGAAAGTAAACTGCAAGAAATGTTTTGGGGTTGATCTCATGATTATTGTAGTCACAGGTTGTGTTAGTAGTATTAAAGGTTGTGTTTTCACAGGTATATTGTTTACATTCCTATTCTTTTACAGGATAATATTTTCACAAAATATGTTAGTCAATGAGTTATGTTATGGTACACCGTACAGCCATGCACCTGCCACAGATGGAAGCAGTATTAGGCTTTGATGTTTGTATGCTTTTATCACATTGCTGCATATATGTAGGTCTTTCCATTCTTGAGCCACCCCCGATACGCTGCAGGTCCTGGTGCAGACTCAGTGGCAGAGTGGTACGTGGCCGGCCCCGCCAGGTGGCAGCGGAACTTGGGTTTTCGAAGTATGCTGCCATCATAACGCGTGCTGGTACATCGTCGTTTAGTCTCAGGACGTGACCAAAGAGCCGCCACCTCGCTTTCACAATGGTTTCCCCTAGGGAAAAAGGAAACGGAATATGGCCCACCAAATGCCAAATATGGCCCACATTAGCAGTGGCCACAATAAGCGTCAATTGTGCGTCCAGGAACCGGACAAGCCATGCAACTGCCGTCGCAAGGACCAGTGCCCTCTCAACGGAGCGTGCCAAGCAACCAGCATAGTCTGCACGGCGGAGGTGTCGAGTGATGGCTACAGCTATGGGCCCAAGACCTACATTGGCAGTACGGAGCCTCCATTCAAGCTTCTATACGGGAACCACAAGACACCCATCAAGCTTCCTGGATACCGCAAATCCACGGGCCTCTCAAAGCATGTGTGGGAATTGAAAGATAATGGCAAGACGCACGACATCAAGTGGCGAGTGGTTCAGAAGGCCAAGGCCTACAGCAACGTAACGAAAAGATGCAGCCTGTGCCTCGAGGAGAAGGCGAGAAGAATATCTGCCGACAGGAGATCGAGCCTCAACAAGCGGTCGGAGGTGATATCCAAATGTCGACATCAAAATAATTTCATGCTATCAACACCGATAACATGATCTTCTCGGCACCCTGCTTCCAGGCAGTAGGGCCAGTTGATAGCTCTCTGCCGCCTTGTCACCATCATCATCTTTGCACCGCGCATCTCTCTAGCTGGGCCAGCTCGTTTTCATCACCTTTATCACCTTAGTACCGCGATCCTTACTGGCTATGACACTGAATCGGATATGAGTCGATAGCGCCCCTAGCGCTTTCTGTTATCCTTGTCCCGCCATACTGGGCTTTAAATAGTGGGTTATTTTTCTTGATGTTCATATCACCCGATGAGTGCCTGAGATGGCATGAAACTTTAAGTTGTGACTGATCAAGCCATCTGTTGTTCTGACTAGTGTGTCACGGCTCTACCTTCCCGGTATCGAGCTCTCTTGCATTTCTGCTGGAATTCACAACAGTGTGTATATATATATTACTAGTATATAATACACAAACAAACACACACACCGACACACACAAACAAAGACACCCACCCACACATGCATACTATGGCTGCAGCTATAGAGTCCTGCAGCATGAAATGCACTTGACCATGGTAGGGTCTGGACAGCGTGGGTATGCCACGGATCCAGGTAACAAAACAGGTCATTTCCTTGGAACATAGGTTTGTTGTGGAACATTAAACGATGAACTGCAAATATGGTGTTGCTATCAAATCGGAATTATTACTACATGCATAGCACTGTTCAGTGCTATCTCCACATGCATGACTATTTAGTCACTGCCTTACGTGCAGTCTTTACCCTTGTCACACCGAGTGTATCTTTTTGGAAACTTTTCTTTATCACGTAGCTCAATATCATCAAATCATTATCCCCTTGGTTTAATCTATCCGGCACGAGCCAACCTCTGGGTGGACCTAATGGATCCACCGACTTGAACGCGGAAATAATAATAATAATTATCAACATCTGTGTCAGATCTGGGTTGAATGGAGCATAATTTCTCGCCGTAAACTCTGAGTGTTAGACTTGGATTGAATGGAGCATGATCACTCACTCTCTGAACTCTACACACTGGGCAAAGCTGTTGAAAGTCAAGTGACTAGCAGCTCACAGATTGATATTGTCTTTGTTGTCTCGGTCGGTGGAGCATGAGACTCTCAATCTCATCGTCATCTTCGAGCCCCACGTTGGGCGCCAATTGTCGTCGGATTTTTTATGCAGACGCTAGGGGACGATAGGCTGTTTAAATATCTCTCTGTACGTCTGCCGTATACAACACACAAAGGTCGAGTTGTTCTTGCTCATTGAGAGTCTCAGGAAGAAGGCGTAGAAGAAACAAGAATGCGTACAATATGCGCATGTGTGCTGTGGCGCAACCTGCGCAGTCTGTGCGCGGTCCGTACACAGCCCCGCGAGGACACAGCGCCACACAGTACAAATAGGCCAAAAGGGGAACTCGTAGATGTCACGGATGGGACCTCCAAGGTCACGGACAACATGTAGACTATTCACAACAACCCACATCAAATGTATCGTCAGGGAAGCACAAGCCGGAAAAGAGCAGTGCACTTCTAATAATTGTAAATAGCGGACAGCAGAGAGCTTTCTCTCTACAGCAGACCCAGGTTCAATACAAGTAGCAAAATCTGGTGAGAAAGCTGAATACCGTAGAGCCGGCCATCACCAATGTATCATGTCTGCAACTTTGCATTCCTGATAGAACTAGTGGTGTTAGGTTTGTTTTCAAAGCAGACATGATCACGTGATACTTGTAGACACCAGTCCAAAGAGTTGCCCAGTAACATTCCATTACAGCAGCAGTAGTTACAGTAGTTATTCCTGACACGATTCTTTCCTTTCATACATACATGTTACGTGTGAATTAGTCAAGATACTTTCATGTACTCGCCATGCATGCGCATGCACACACACACACACACACACACACACACACACACACACACACACACACACACACACACACACACACACACACACACACACACACACACACACACACACACACACCACACACACACATATACACACACACACTCACATACACACACACACACTCACACACACACACGTACACACACACACGCACTTATAGACACCTTCACAACGAATCATACACATGTAAACACACACACGTAATCAACACACGAAGCACAGTTGCCATATAGTTCCGACTAGACCATTCGTGCCATTACTTTTCAAGTCGAATACAATTAACAAGGTAGCAAGTACCGCAATGTCGCGTATGAAAGCATGACCTGTATAGAAGCATGACTCGAATAGAAGCCGATTTTTAGAACCGCGCCGTGACAGAGAAGCACGATTTGAATAGAAGCCGTGCTTCTATTCGAGACAAAAAAGTGGCAACAAGAAACACCATACAACTGCAGGCCGCGTACGGCAGACTGCAGAGTACACGTGCAAGTACTGCACATGTACAGTACAAGTCATGTGTGACAGTGCAGTGCAGTGCACTAGTGCGCGCGCACTGCACTGTCGCAGTCTGTCGATTCGTGTCACGCACTGCAGTGCACTACTAGTGTAGACTGTAGTTGATGGGGCCCCGTTAACTACAGTCTACACTACATGTAGAGTAGAACCCGGGTTAAGGGTCACACCGGATTAGGGATCGGAGCCCGGGGGGGGGGGGGGGGGGGGGGGGGGCACTTGGCATGTACATTGTGCGGGTGATCCTTATACCGAGGATTTAATTTCCGGCCCAAGGGTGGTCCCCCGTCGGTTTCCAAGGAAGCAGTAATTTTTTCACTCCAAACTAATTTTCCGGGGTCCATCTACTAACAAAAAGTCGTTTTGCACACCTTTTTGCCCATCCCAGTACAACTGAGACCAGCTATGTCCGTGCAGAGTTAAGTGGATCCCTAACCCGGGTTCTACTCTAGTAGTAGTACACTGCATAGCACTGTGTGTCTTTCCAACAAACCTGGACACATGCCAGAGCAGTAGACTATCCGCACTGCAGACCTACAGTGTACCATCATGGAAGACTTCTTGGTGGTTGCGGACGTGATCGTGAGTGCAACACTGCATAGGGCACGCAACACTTCATGCAACGTTGCAAAATGAAACCGCTGCGCAGTTTTTGTTGCAATACCGATTCTCCGTACGGTCACAGTCATGGCTAGCCAGGGAGAATAAAATTGCTTCAATCCTAGCAGTCGATCCTCATTCTTCCTTCGAGGATTCACTGACAATAGCTGCAAAGATGCCAATGCCGACGACAGGAAAGAGACAAAAACTACAGCCTTACTTTCAAGCTGGCTTTCATCAAGTCCGCGAAGGAAACGTCCTGCAGTGCTGCTAGTCACTTCCACAATGTGAATGAGAGCATGGTTCGTCGCTGGAAACAGAAGGAGGCCAGTCTAAAGGGAATAGAAAAATCCACAACCTGTCGTGGTCGTGCGCGGGCGCGCCTAGTCGGCGGTGGCAACACGTTGCTTTTGTGTGACCTTGAAGATGAGCTGTTCGGATGGATCGTCGCAGAGCGCCAGCAATGTCGACGAGTGACGCGGAAGTCGGTCCAGGCAATGGCTAAGCGGATTCACGACGAGCAAGGAGGACAGGAACCGTTCAATGTAAGTGCTGGAAGGTGTGGGCATTTCATGGAGCATCTTCAACTAATGACAAGAGTGAAGACGCACCAGAGCCATCGAGCTCCTGCTGACCTGATCCCCAAGTTGACGGACTTCCTTGTGTTTGTCAGGAAATTGTTCGCCGACAACAACGATCTAAACCCTGCCAACATCTTTGCCATGGATGAAACTGCCGTTTGGTTTGATGCGACTAGCAACTGGACAGTCAACGGGATTGGCGCCAGGACAATCAGCATGGCCTCACAGGGAATGACAAACAAAATGTCACTGTGGCACTGATGGCATCTGTGTCTGGTGCAAAGCGGGGGAGATGACATGGTGCACATGACTGTAACGATGTACGTCACACTGCTAGCTATCCAACCGATTACAAATTATTACATGACAGGTATTTCTTGCAGACGTACACTAGGCTACAGACTACAGTATCTCATGCTTAGTTACTACATAATTATTGTACAATCATCTGTCATGTTACTTGTACACTACATCAATCACCTCATTTAAGTTCATCTCGATATGGCATGAATCGATTTTCTGCATTCCCGGTTCGTAAAGGAAGTATGGAATGAGAGCCTCAGTTCAATATCTCGTCTGCTGGTTCATTGAGAAGCGCAGCATCGCTTCCGCATGACGATGCAAGCCAAATCAAAACAACTCTAGCCAAAAAACTAGTTCAGCGTTCGTCAGGCAAAAAGCGAAAGTCTCAAACTCAAAGTCAAAATGTTGGGACGTGAGAGTCAGAAGGTCCACTAGCCTCATCTCGAACCCAGACAATCTTTGTGAAAGTCATTTATTGAACTTGCAAGGACTTGATCACTCCCACGGTTTCCTGTTGGAACAGGAATTACGCCGTTGCAAGAATGCTCTGCAAAAATCCATCCAGGCTCTGCAGGCCAGAGCTTGGCTTATTTTAGTCCATGGATGTGGCTGAGGCTTCGCAGAAAAGTCTTCAAGTCAACCAATTCATGATTTGAACCCCGGGGGGATCCTCCTCAAACACCGGTGTACAATGTTGCAGAAGGAGGCGCTTAACGATCCCAAGCTGTGTTTTTCAGTCCCGCTTGAGTAGTGCTGAATTCTGCACATCACTGCACGCCTTTCTCAAGACGCATCGAGCGTGTCTTGGAATCTGAACAAAAGTGTAGACATGGTGCAGAGTGGATCGTTTCATCTGCAGTGCACCGCTACACACCAACGGTCAGTACAGCTGCTTTTGGAAGCTGCTTCCCACTGTGTAGAGTCTACCGCCTGTGCATGCAGCAGTCTGGTGTTTATTTCAAACCAAGGTCGAACTTTTTTTGGGGGAGGGGAGGAGGGGGGGGGGGGAGGGCGTGCGCCCCCCCCCCCCCCACCCCACACTACCTAAACCCGCCACTACACCTCATATTTGGCAGCCAGAGTATTGACCAAATAGTACTTTAGAAGACAGCGCTAGTGATGTCAACTAAATAGTGAAAAAATGAATTTTACAAGTATCAAACAACAATGGGGATCACAGTTCTACAATGTCAAAAGAGTGAGAACTTTTGCACATGCTTCTATTGCACACACAGTTCAAGCTTCAGCTTTGCAATGTACACTGCCTCCAGAACAGCCAGGTGAGATTTATTGAGCACACGCGCTTGAGTGGTAAAGTGACAAGCAGTGCCATGTTTGCAATGAGTGCCATGTGCATATTTGAACTGTGTGTGCAAAGAAGCATGTGCAAAAGTTGACACTGTTTTGACATTGTAGTACTGTGGTCCCTATTGTTGTTTGATACTAGTAAAAGTAGAAAGGAAAAGGACATAATATAATTATGGAACCGAGTTAAGAGTAACTCTCCACCACTGTAACTAGATACTTTATACAGTCAGAAAGTGCAACAACTAGGCACAAACCTGACAGAGTACTGAGACATTCGACGTCCTGACACCTAGCTTCAACACATCTCCGTAGCGCTAACCGACAGCCTTCCCACTTGGAAGGTTCAAGGTTATGGAAAGACCAAAGAGGGGAAGGCGAGCGCAACGAAAACGAGCACAAGCTATAGTCCCACAGGAACACAGAATGTCGATTGTCACTGGATGATGACGAGACCAGTAGGCAGTTTGACAAAGCGGTCTAACTACAATTCGAAGCGGCAAAGCAGCACACCACCCAACTTGGGTGGGTCAAAAATATCAAAGATAAGTTAAAAAGGGGGAAGCTTTGCGAGAACGAATTGTACAAGCCGAAATCTAAACTCCTACAGTACTCCTCATGCATGACATTGTGTCGAATGTCTCAGTACTCTGTCAGTTTTGTGC